TATCGGTTAATAAGAGGCAAGAAAGATACTGAGGTTACACGGTATCACAAAATTACAGGGAAAACAAGAGAAGAGAGCTACGACTCCCACTTTCCGCTGTATCCACTACGTCGCCGAGAAGCCGAACCATAGTTATGAACTGATTTTCACTGGGACTTGAACTCAGTTTAGAGGCAGCTCTCATAATTAGATAAGAAAACTATATTCTCATGCTCTCCTATCAATCTCCCACGCAAATCATTGAAGGTGTTATCATTGAGATTTAGTCTTTTGTAATTAGCCGGAGTGGCCCCTAAGCTAACCATCAAGCGTGGTGCGAAGAGTGGGTATGCCAAGTGCGAACACCAAGGCAATGTGATATATTTGTTAAGTGGCTGAGAGGCTTACGGAATGTTTTGCCCGCAAACTAACATAAATCTCCATCTCGGAAGTATAATGGACTACTCGGTAATAATGCAATCACCCCCTTTCGCTTCCTCTGGCACGTAGACAGAACGAAATGATACAGGGTAACCAACGAACACCTTCTGGAAGGCGTTTGTGAGGAACGTCTGGTGACTGTGACGTTTTGGGGATTTCGGGGACTTCGGGCATATTGTCTGGAGTAATTACCAAGTACAGGTGGTCCTGTGTAGATCAAAATCCCAAAAGCACCAAAACGAATATGCGCCGCAACTACTCTTCCTCGAATCAGATACATTGAGGGCTTCCTAAATTCCCCATGATTCGATTCTCCTCCATATGAAGATCCGTTGCTCCTGTCGCTAACATCGGAAGGATAGTTCCTTTTACCCAGAGCCAGACTCGATAACGTCTGATCTCGCCGGCAATTGAACAGATCTGGTATAGCCATTAAAATGTGTTGGAGATGCCCCCCAGACTCAAGCAAAGCCTCAATTGGTGGCTTCATTTCAGCCCTGATTTCTATCCACACCTTTGATGCTGGTGGAGTTAGTTTGAATGGGGCATCAGAAATTGATTATGGGCTATAGACCGACGCATGGACCAAGATAAGAGGGACAACTGAATGGCATTCATGCAAGATTTGAGGGATGTCCGTCGGTCTAGGAAAGGGGTCGAGATGATGAAGGAGGCTCAAAGCCTAGGCTTGCAGGCAGATGAGAATGCGCACAACGTTACCACGCGAATTGTAAAATGTGATCAAGTTTGTACTGTCCGAATGATCAAATCCTTGTGGGAGTACGAAAGTATACATCAAGTGATACAAAGTACCATGTAGCTAGTAATTTGCTACAAGCAATAGCTCAGCAAGGATAGTCTCAAGTAGGTCTTGATGCGCTTACTTAGGCGCAATTCTTGTCCTTGTTGAAGGTTATTCGAGGGAAATTGGCACACTCTTCACGACCACCGGAAAACTGGAATCCACCGTCCAAACAACGTAACTCAGGTTGCTGCTCATATCAGTGATATGCGAATGCGATCACCCGTAGCTGAGCCGTCAAGGTTGGGCTTGGTAACCCGGCATTATAATCATCCCACTCTGCTCGTTAGAGTAATACTTATGGCCGCGTATGGCCCGAAGTCGGCAGCTCAGGAAGTTTAAAAAAATTTCAGAATTCCGTAGGTTTTGGCGTCATATGCCGTGGTGCGAGATCTTAAATCTCAAAATCTTTGGCAAGTGTAAGCTTTCGGGTAATGGCTTGTACGTAGCATTCCGCATGTTGTGACGAATCTCTTTACTTGGCGGTTCTCTACCAGGGGCAGGAGTAGGCAAGCTCCGAGCAAATAAGCCTTCGGAAAGTTCTGCAAATTCCTCGGTCTAAGCTACAATCTACACTCGACTGCTTTGAATATCGAAAGGTTTTCCAAACTCAGATAAAATTAGATGCAACTAAGAGTTTTTGGCTTTCAATGCAAGATTCAAACGTTTAGGAAATTTATCTTGTGATATGTGTTCAAGTCATGATGACCCCAGGCAAGTTAATCCAGTAGAAGACAGCATCAGGCCTATCTGAGTGCCATCAATGACATGTAAATGGTTTAAAGTGTGACGACTAGCTTGTTCAGAACTTGAGTCGAATAAATATAGATGTAGGCAACCTGCAATATGTGCTATATTGAGGTATCAGTTTGATATTCTCGGTTCATAATATGTTAGTCTCGACAAAGTACGAGAAAAGCTGCAGACCATACCCAGTAGTCCAGAGCTGAATACCATACTTTTCGACTTGGGTCAGAACATCCAAGTGATGCAGAAATTATATCTCTCTTGTAGGTTTATTTGCAAGAATAATTAGAAATACAAGGTGACTTAGTTGTTATATCATTCTAGTGCAAGACTTTCTTCAACTTCAAATGCCGATCATGAACCACTTAATATACAAAAGCAAGGAGTTTCTCTCTCCATTTCCTTTTATAACATTCAGAAAATGATCTTGACATCTGTTCAATTGCGCAACACCCTGCATACACTTCGCGAGGGTAATGAAAGTAATACAATTTGTTGACACTCGATAGTTCAAGTAAATATGGAAGATGTATTGCTCCATTTTTCGGAATAACTTATTTGTTTGCTGATATAGATTCATTTACAAGTCCCAGTCTAATTGTTGCAGATTGTATCGTCAACTTTAATGGGGGCGGTAGCAAATGATTTTCCGAATAGTGTTCGTTCAGAAGAAAGGTATATTATTATTTTTTTTTTTTTTCAAATTGTAGAATCATTTCTTGAATGATCTGTAAGTCTCAAGTAGATCTTAACCCTATAGTTTCGCTTCTTGTCCATATCATTTGTTTTTCCTCCCATCAAGTCTAAAAAAATATTACCATAAGTAGATGTATTCTACATAACTGCAAATCTAAGCTTAGTCAGTATCTCTTCCCTTTCTGTAGACTCGGTCATTCAGTATATTATTTTGAAAATGCGAAAAGGGCTTCTGGTGATCTTTTAACCCACGTGAATATGGCTAAAGTGAATCATTCCATGCAACTAGAGAATGCTTTCTCATCCCGGCCTGGATCATCAGAGTTGGCCCAAGCCTCATCGTTCAATTTAGAGTCTGGGAAAAAGATCAATGATGCGTCTTGATTCTTTGAAGATGTGAGTCCCCTCCAGCATGGAACATTTTAATCAACCAGCATTGAAAATGGAAAACTTCGAAACAGCGTTCCCAATTCGAGATTTAATCATGCCCTGTGCAGGTCAATAAGGGGCCCCTATAGAAATTCTCCTCTTTCTTCCAAACAAATCATGCACCTAATCAGACTATGAAGGATGGCTGGAACTACATTTGATATACCAGTATATTCCTGCTCAGACATGTCAGTAGTGGCTTAGTTAGAATTCAGGAATACGACATCAAGTATGTAGATCAGATTAACGACTCGTTGATGTGCCAATTTATTGAAAATATAAATAATATATACCTTGAATCGAGTCGAGTATTAACTCGGTGATGTCCTTATGTGACTTGAATGATTGAAGAGGTCCTGCCGACGCTTCTCTGGACACAGCCGCAGAAAGCTACGATGTGAAATCGATGATTCACTTGGAAATGGTGAGGATCAATAAGCAGAATTTCAAGCGTGAAGATGCCACATTTTTGAGTGGCAGGTAGTATGATATCGACTTCAGGGTATTTGATAGTCCGGACTGTACTCCAACAATATGGGTCTGAATGTCTAGAAAGAGACAGAAATCTGAAAAGGGTTCAATGTTCTAATGAAGAGCTCAATATTTCGAATGGTTTTAATGTTCTAATTGATCCGAGGGTTTGATCATCTATATTTTGAGATTACAGTCCGAACTATTGGACACTCTGATCGATCTTCTTATGGGATCAGATGGGGTCAACTCGACTATTCGCCAAACACTGTTCCAGGGGTAAAGCCTGAGCGATTATTCAATAACTGTGCACATCGTGCTATTGTTCCACGCAAGAACATACAGAAGATCACAGCTATGAGAGTTGAAAATTGAGATTTGGATGTCAGACGAGATGTGTATCATCACTGGTCCTACCAGCACGGACGGAAACCCGAATTTCGTCTTGTTACCTAACATCAATCATGATCTTGTTTTCTGTCATGTAGAGGGTATGCATACAGAATACTGGCATCTAAGATGTGTAGAACATGATCCTGAAATTTTCTGAATCGTGAATATGATCCCTGATGCCTAGCGGTAGCCGTTGCTAGTAGTTGGTCCATTGAAAACCTGTCCATCTCCGAATCAGAGCATGACTTTCATGTTGATGCTGCAAATGCCTGGGTAAGTGAGCATGAGATATATTCAATCGTTCATTATCTACAACTAAGCGATGTCGTCAAACACACAGCTCAAGATGCAGCCACATGGATGGAAGATGACGCATCCTTCCGTTGTTGCATTGACAAGTCGCCCAGAAGCACTTCTCACTTGACAAGGCTAACAAAGGGTGTAAGAAAGCTCGAATGCCCAAAACGAATTTGAATTAACAAGATTCAGTTGTAAATAATGTGTGAATATTGCTAATAGTGACGGGGAATGAAAAATTGAAATAAGGATTTCTGTGTCCGTATTCGAAGTTCTCGTTCCCATTGCGTCCGGTGTCTTGATTGGTTGCCGTAGACTCAGACGAACGGTAGGATCAGGTGACCCGAACGCTAGCTAGTGATATCGAAACGATCTCTTACGCACATTTTTGTTCCAGCAGCACTTCTGTTTTACATCAAATTGACTGACATTATGTACGACTTTCTAGTAAAGGAAATGCGGATTTATTCTTGGAAGCTTCTCTGCATCAATTCAAGGGATGAGGGCGAGCTATACCCCATTTTGTCTCTATCTGATAAGGATGGGGAGACGCCTACCTTAGATTATGCGGGCAACTTTATCAATTGCCAATCGTTAGCCCACGAGCACGTTGGAAGTGTAACTCCGCATCGTCACTAGGTAGTTACCGGTACCGGTACATTTTAGCTTTCAGGTAGTAGATCCCACCCAGTGCTTTCAACCTTTTCCTATTCGCTATCTTTCTTATTTAAAAAATAACATACATTTGTGTGGCTGGCAGCGAAGGCAGTTGGTGGTATAAAAGTTCCTCGCCCACATTCAATCTCTAAGTGAGAAAGCTGGAACTTCGGCCAAGGTCTAATCCTCCCAGTTTGCGTGATTCCCTTATCAACCACTGGTTTCTTGTCAAGCATAGGTGTCATTTACGGGATTTCCACGTTCAATTATCTGTGCCATCAGGAGACATGGCCAAGCTTGTCCTCGTCACCTTGATTTCAGCGGGATACTTTGTTTCTTCTACCCAAGCTGGAGCCGAAGTAGGAAAAGGATCTCAATTACCGGGGGCACCATCCTTCGTTGTCCCGTCGGCATTTCCAACCTCAGTGTTTTCGAGTTATTATCTCAAACCTGCTGCAACCGCCGAGCCTCAACCAGCGTTGTACGATCCGATACTAAACATCACCTTTCCAGTTAATCTTACTGATCCTGCAACCATACCAACTGCTACTGATGATCCAGTATACTATCCGGAGGCTGTCGGCAATCCAAGCAATACACCTCCTGAAACATTGCTCCAGAATGCGCTAAACGAGGTTAAGGATATTATTTACAATGAAACTGGGCTCTCAAACAATTGTTCAAAATGTATTGCTGCATTGAGCGTAGGGAAAACTCTCGCCCAGCAAGCTCCAGAATATGTACCTGATGCTTTAATCTTGTTATGTCAAGCCACGGGCTTTGCATCGAACACCACGTGCAGAAATAACTATGCACCAGGAAGTTGGGGCGCAATATGGGCACAAGTGCTAGCATTGGCCGATGTTGCTGAATCAGACGGTCAATATATATGTAGTTCCCTGAGCACAACTTATTGTCCACTCCCCAGCGCAGCGCCATTAAATACTACCGGATTGTGGAAGCCAAAGCCGGCTAACGCAACGGCTCCAAAACCAAGTGGACAACGAAAGAAAGTCCTCCACCTTTCGGATTTTCACCTTGACCCTAGATATCAAGTTGCTTCTGAGGCAAACTGCTCTTCCGGTTTGTGCTGTAGATACACAGATGCGCCCACTTCTCAAGCAATATTTCCGGCACCATTATATGGGTCTTACAAGTAGGTGTCATGTTCCTATGTAATTGGAATAATCAAATAATGGATTTCGTAGATGCGATACTCCATATTTCCTTGCGCTAGCAGCTCTTCAATCCATTGGGGCTATGACCGGTACCAAAGGCTATGGATCGGAACCCGCTTTCACAATCTATACAGGTGATTAACCAAAACTTCTTCCATAGATTCTCACTAACTGCCCATTAGGTGATCTCGTTTCCCATGATGCTCAAAACCAAATGTCACGAGAATATGTTGAGTACACGGAGACTAGTATCTACTCAATTCTGAAATCATACATCAAGAACCCTATCTTCCCCGTACTAGGAAACCATGATTCAACCCCGGAAAATATTGATAGTCCCCACAGCTTACCTGGCCCTTTGGGTAAGCAGTTTAGCTGGAACTACGATCATGTCTCTTCCTTGTGGCAGCACGAAGGGTGGCTGAGCAAAGCAGATGCCGAGGAAGCTGCTATTCACTACGCTGCTTATTCCGTGAAAACGCATCTCGGACTTCGGATTATTACATTAAATACCGACTTTTGGTACAGGTCTAATTATCTTAACTTCATCAACACGACAGACCCTGATGTTTCCGGCTCGTTTAGATTCATGATAGATGAGCTTCAGATGGCGGAAGATGCTGGCGAGAGGGTCTGGATTCTTGGCCACGTATTGTCAGGGTGGGACGGAACCAATCCACTACCAAACCCAACAAATCTTTTTTATCAAATAGTCGACCGTTACTCACCCCATGTCATCGCCAACGTCTTCTGGGGTCATACGCATGAAGATCAAGTGCTTATTTACTACTCTAACAACGGAACCATGCAGACCTCCTCAACCGCGTTAACAACCGGATGGATCGGACCCAGCGTAACTCCACTGACCAACATGAATTCCGGCTATCGCATGTATGAGATAGACACCGGTTCATTTCAAATCATGGACGCATATACATTCTACTCTGACGTCAACACCTATTCTTCCCTTAACGGTACTGGCCCTACCTTCCAATTCGAATACTCCACAAGAGCTACGTACGGACCTTCCATTTCGTGGCCAGAAGATGCGCCGCTCAATGCAACGTTTTGGCATGGTGTTACGGAAGCGATGGAGAAAAACAGAACGTTGGTAGAGCTGTTCAATACATTTCAGGGGAAAAGTTCGATCAAAAGCCCTAATTGTACAAGTGATGCTTGTGCGCAGGCAAAGGTATGTTATATAAGGAGTGGAAGTGCGCCGATCGGGAGGGCTTGTCCGCAAGGATTTGCGAGCGTGCAGAGTCCTTATCTTGGGAAGAACTTTTGAGGGAAAGGGGGGATGATGCGCAACGTAAAAAGTCTAGATGAAGCCACCAGCTTACTGGCCGAGCGCTTAATGACCTAATAAAATACATTCAGCCCATGATCATATTTTAATCCCTGATTTACACCGTAAAGGTGTAAACAATAGTTCACTATTCAAAACGTTTGTTTGTCGCTTCAATTGCGAGAAGAAATTGAGAAATGAATAACGACTATCACACGTTACTTGGGTGATTGTACCCCCATCAGTTTTCATTGGAATCCAGAAGTTTCGATCTGATAGTGTGTATGACTTTGAGCCATCGTCCGAAAATCAATCTCAACCATAGGATTTGTTCGGGGCGAATAAAACGTAAAATATCATACAACATCAGATCTTTAAATTTTGATATTTGTGTAGTAATTTACACACTCTAGTCCACCCTCTAGCTAGACTTCTTTTTCCTGATTGCCATAGCTTCTTGACTCAGCTCCTCCAAGGCATCCTCATAAGTTTCCTTCTTATACTCGCCAAACTTTCTTGCATCAACCACCACTCTCTTGACCTTCTCTCCGTCTCTCCTCCTGATTTCTTCACTCTTTGCAACCTCATTGAAGAACCATCTCGCCTCAGTGTTCCCAACTAACGTCCATGCAGATCCTTGTCTCCCTGCTCTCGCCGTTCTACCTACTCTGTGTACATAATTTGTAATGCTTGTAGGAACATCATAATTTATGACATGTGCAAGATCAGGAAGATCGAGACCACGAGAGACGAGATCAGAAGCGACGAGGATTTGGAGTTTACCTCGAGAGAATGAGGCAATAGAGGCCCTGCGCTCGGAGGAACGGGTTGTGGAGGTGAGGGTTCCAATGATATTCGTGTAGGAATCGTTGATCAAGGAAAGCAAACGACCGAGACGGATGGCGGATTCGTTAGATTTGGTGAATATGAGCACACCATGAGGTTCGTGATTGATCGGTAGTGGATTACTTTTGATTTTTGATTTCGACTTGGGCGATGGTCTTGAATCCGAATCTGAATCAGAGTCTGATTTTGAGCTGTCATCTGAGGACGAACTGTCTTCTGAGCTATCTTCGTCTGAACTGGAATCAGAAGAATCCGAATCCGTGTCTGTGTCAGATTTAATTTCGCTCTCGTCTATCATGCTATTTCCCTTCAATATTTCAATCAAATACAACGGCTTCAGATTCTCGTCATCTACCTTGACAGCAAATTCAGCAAGTCCAGATGGTAGAACATGCGCCTGTGAGCCCTTTTCATCATTAATGGCTGATGAGCCTTCTAGGACTACCAATTTTGGTCGATAGAGCTTCAAACTAGTCAATTGACCAATATCTCTAGTCATCGTAGCGCTAAGAACAATTTTCCTCACCCTATCCTTATTATTTGGAAGTGATTTCTGCCCTGCCGCTGAGGAATTCATAACAACATCCAACCATTGCTGGAAACTTTGATCCAGAAGCTTATCTGCTTCGTCTATAATAAGCCATTTGACATGCTGTAGAGTAAACCCTGGGGTAGACTTTAGATGCTCCACCAATCTTCCCGGCGTGCAAATTAGAATATCAACCTTTGATACTGGCTCAATGACATGATCAGGCAAAGGAGAAACGGTTTCATCATCGAAGAACGGTTCACCTTCATCATCTGTCCCAGCATCAGAACTCTCCCATCGAGAATTTTTTCGCCTTTCTTGCTCGTGGTATAGTATCGGATCATATCGATATGTATTTTCCATAAGGTTTGCTTGTTCTACTTTAAAAGCTTCATTTCCTACTGCTGTGCCTATCTTTACACGTTTTCTACTGCCAGCAGAGAATGCACTCGAACATACCTCACACACTTCACGCGCTTGAGATACAAGTTCTCGAGTCGGCATGACGATCAATCCACGTAGACGAGTGACTGTATTATGGCTGATATCTTGGGTCATGGGCAAAACGTATGATAGCGTCTTTCCGGATCCGGTTGCCGCTGACACCAATACATCACCAGGCTTTTGCTGAGAGCCAGGAAGTAGGAGAGGAAGTACTGCGGCTTGAACGGCGAATGCTTCATTAAAGCTTTTGGACCGAAGAACATTGGCAGCTTCAACCTCGACCCCTAAATCGGAAAATTGGGCAGTAGTCGTAGGTGAGACTAAAATTGGTGACGCAAGCCATGAAGGGAGAGTAGATTCGAGCGATGGAGGTGGAAGTTCGGGAATTGGTTCTGGCTGCGGCAGTGGGACTAAATCGTGGATCTCTGCAGGTTCCTCTGGCTCTTGGGCGTTCTCAATAGCCAGACCCTCCTCAGCAGCTTTGCGCGCACGCCTCTCAGCCTTCTTGATAGACTTCTCGCGCTTCTCTAATACTCTTTTATGTCTTTTATCATCTATATCCTCACTACTTTCTGCAATATCCCGAGACGGAATGGTTTCGACCTTCGACTTGGACATCTTTGATTTCTTGTCCTTCCTTGTTACTTCTTGCGCTTCTTGCGCTTCTTCTGACGAGACAGTATCATTATGCGAGTCCTCATAAATTGATGGCACGAGTGCTGTCACAGACTTCTCTTTCTTCTCTTTTCTTGCTTTCTTGGAAATGGGCTCTGGCGTGGGCTGAACGACATCTTCGCGCTTTCGTTTGGAGGCTGGAGATGGTGATTCGGGCGCAGCTATGGGGGCGTCTAGTTGCGTATTTGGTTTTAATTTTGATTTAGAAGATGGTACATAACGCGCATAAGTTGAGGAGGCATCTGGTCGTGTAGCAGGTGGGGCGAGAGGAGGAGGAGAGGATGATTTGGGGGGAGATGGAGGGGCCTCGATAGAATTCTCTTGCGTCGTTACCTTCTTTTTGGAAGGAGGAACATATCTTGAATACATCTCCAAGCCTTTTAATTGATAAGTTAACGATTGTCAATGCCAATTGATGAATTTCGAAACCTTCCTCAGTTGATTGAGAAAGAATTGAGAAATGGAAGATAAAAATTTTACGGAGACTTTAGCGACTAAAGTGGCAGTTAACTGAGCGCGACAAACTTCCCGAAAGTCTAGGCCTCAAAGTTGCCAAAGCTCTTGAAGCTTCCTACTTCAGCCCTCGCTGATGATATTGATTGTCATGATGATGATGAATTTGCACCAAAAAGTACAAGTGACTCCTCCCTGAACTCAAGTTAACTCTCTCCCCTTGATCGGTTGACCTTATCAATAGTTGTATTTTTTTCCAAGATGCCGTACAATATAGCTATGGTCAGCGACTTCTTCTTTCCACAACCAGGAGGTGTCGAAAGTCATATCTACCAACTCTCTACGAAGCTCATCGACCGAGGACACAAAGTCATAATTATTACACATGCATATGAGGATAGAACCGGTGTCAGATACCTTACAAACGGTCTCAAAGTCTACCATGTCCCATTCCTCGTTATGTTTCGTTCTTGTACCTTTCCCACGGTCTTCTCGTTCTTCCCAATCTTCCGCAATATCGTTTTACGAGAACAAATCGAGATCGTTCATGGTCATGCAAGCATGAGTAGCATGTGTCATGAAGCCATATTGCATGCGAGGACGATGGGACTGCGGACTGTATTTACAGATCACTCATTATTCGGGTTCGCAGATGCCGGCAATATATTAATCAACAAGCTTCTCAAATTTACATTGAGTGATGTTGATCATGTAGTATGTGTCAGTCATACCTGGTAGGATTATCCAATTTCATCTTTTTGAAGACCCTAAAATCCTAACACACTGTAGTAAAGAAAACACGGTTTTACGCGCTTCCCTTGATCCTCTTATGGTCTCTGTCATTCCAAATGCAGTCGTAGCAGAGAACTTTCGACCTCTATCACATCCTTTATATCCGTCCGATCCCCCAGGAAAGCATCCTCCACCAGCCCCATATCCACTCGGTCCCCACGATGTGATCACAATTGTCGTGGTTTCTAGACTTTTTTACAACAAAGGGACCGACCTACTGATTGCAGCAATTCCCCGAATCCTCGCTCACCATCCTAATGTACATTTTATAATCGCAGGATCTGGTCCAAAGGCCATCGACCTTGAACAAATGCTGGAGAAGAACGTGTTACAAGATAAAGTTGAGATGCTTGGGCCTGTCAGGCATGAAGAGGTCCGAGATGTTATGGTTAGGGGGCACATATATCTTCATCCGAGTTTGACCGAAGCTTTTGGAACCGTGATAGTCGAAGCTGCTAGCTGTGGGTTATATGTTGTATGCACGCAGGTTGGAGGGATTCCAGAAGTGCTTCCATCACATATGACAGTTTTTGCCAAACCAGACGAAGATGATCTAGTCGCTGCTACCGGCCGAGCCATCGCGTCTTTGAGAGCTAACAAAGTTCGTACCGAGAAGTTTCATGATCAAGTGAAGCTTATGTATTCATGGACAGATGTAGCAGAGAGAACAGAAAGGATTTATGATGGGATCTTCGGTGTTCTGAGCGAAGCGGAATTCTATGGATATGACGCAGCTGATGCAGCTAGCTGGAGCGCCACGAGAGGAAGAGCTGGCGTACAAAGCTTTGCTTTAATCGATCGTCTCAAGAGATATTATGGTTGCGGAATATGGGCAGGTAAACTCTTTTGCCTCTGTGTGATCATCGATTATCTTTTATTCTTGCTGCTCGAAGTTGTGGCCCCTAGAGATAAAATTGACATTTCGAGGAGTTGGCCGAAGAAGATACCACAAGATTCTCCTAGGAGAGATCGTGAAAGTAGGAGAGAATATGGATAGTATTGCGTGATTGATTATGGACCCGTGAGGTACATTTCTTACAGATGACAAAAAGGACATCGCCTTCGATGTTTCTAGTCAAGGCCGGTTTGGTGAGTTAAAAAAAGAGTTGAACATCGACGCTTCCATCCATGCGTCGTGGAGGCTTGATCATGAAAAGCTACAAATCTACTATTCTATCGTACCCAACAATGAGCTGGGTAGCTCCGTCACCTTGCCCATGAAATCCGGATCACGTCGACATTGGCAACTCTCACTCCTGCCCTGGATGTTCTTGTTGATAGCAGGTTTCGTCCCGTGGGTATCAGCGCTAGAGATATTCGAGCATAGGTAGTCTAATGATCAACATACACCTAGACACTAGCTCTATGATCCAAGACCAATCTAAACTTCGGAGTTTTACGATAACTATTTAAGCGCAGCAAAGACATCGTCCTTAACTACAGTGGTTACTTTGAGCTTGATTCAATGAATCAATCAAATTTTGTATGAATGATGAGCTGTGGCGGCTGATGATGCTTGGATTAAGCAAGGCCTGGTCTGGATGTGCGCAAATAGAAATGAAGTAAGGGTGCACCCCTCCAGAGACCAAATTCCGTTCGACCTGCCAACTTCTCGAGCTTTATTTACCTTGTGCGCGATGCGATTACTGGTATCGGCTCTATGTAATGAGCCACTTCAGTCACCTAGAGGCCAGCCGCTATGACCTGTGATAGACTCGCCCTTGGAGGGCAAGAGTAACGCGTCAATAGGTGATCGATCTTTGGCCCTCGCTGTGCAAAAATATTCCAGCATGAGAAGTTCAGATCAATATTTCGAACTTCGACTGAGTACGTTTTGAAAGCATTCGAAATGCTGAATCTTGGAGTTTCGGTTCCTGGATGTTCATATACTGGCTTCTTCATAGGAGTGGTTAAAAACGCGGGGTGTATGGATTGATTGCATGGAGGTATTAGAGCCTGCCCAAGCAAAGATTTTGATGGTTTCTAAGCAACACACGCGAAGGATGCAATGAGCCAGCACTCTACGCACATTTATAATATGCAGGTTCAAGGGCACGTAATGGCCTCCTCATTGTTTTGGCTCCCCTGGCGCGTAACCACACTCTGCATCTGTAGGTTTACTCCAGCTGTGAGTGAGTTTCTCCCGCTAAACAAGACTGGATGTCAACCCAACCTCGAGCCAACGAAACCCCAGCCACCCACCCCAACTCAAGCTTTAAATAAAGTTTCATCTTTTCAAATGCAACCCAGTCCAGGGCAGGATGATAATATGTACTTGTGTCATCTGAGGTGGTTGGCCATTTTGTGAATAGCCAATGAGTACCTAGTAAACTTGTCACCTCAGACATCCCAGAAGTGCCGAGGTGCGTATCCAAAAAGAGAAGAATCTTAGATCTCTTTGCCCCGCGAATCGACATGGGACGTGCTCAGCTCCACGTAGTAGGAGGAAAAAGAGGCCGGAATTACCCATTTTGAACTTTAGTAGAATCTTTCAATCAATTGAATTATAATTCAACCACAAATCAAACAAATGAATCTGAAAACACGGACATGATTATGACCTTCTAATTCTCTTCTATCCTATCAAAGACCATACTTTACTTCAATCATAAAGGAAAGGAATTGGGTTATTAAACGTGAACAAACCCTTCGTAGAGGACGTGCCCAAGATCTACCCGAGATCCATAATATAAGCAACCTTTACTCTCCCACGAGTCTCCTGAATGGTCAAACCCCCATCTCGTGCCTTAATGATCCGTGTTGCGACTATGCCTATTAGAGTGGCTGTGATTGTACCTCGCACAGAGTACAATGCCATTCAGGGTTTCCATCCCAATTCTAGGATCTGTTAATCGAATTCAATCTTCAATATCGTTGGAGATTCCTCCTATTGCGTCAACTACCGGCCCTGCACGCATTCTAATGACGCCAGTGGCATTCTAGTAATACGCCACATAATATCCCATCTCAGCTTGCTATGACCGTTTCGGTGCCACTAAGGTTATGGGCTGGGTTAATACTAAGCCGAGATTTCTATAATCAACAATTTTGATACTTTTCAATGGCTCGGATGTCACTACGTTGTTCCTTTGCGCTGATTTCAGCTCGAAAATCTAAGGCCGCTAGTATCTTAGATGCATGCTTTTGAAATGAAGGTCTGATGATTGGGTAGGAAAAATGCCTCCCTCTTATTGTGGGTGGCCTTGACCCTTGAGAGTCGGGGCCACCGAGACAGAACTTCCGAAGATTACCACCTGCATTGTCCAGGTCCCGGGTTATGGGACGAGGAAGGCAAGTGTGGACAAAAGGAATCAAATCACGCGCGGTTGGCAATGACTGGTAGCGAAGTTGCGGCGAACCTGCCAAGAAGTTAACAAAATCTCCGAAAGCATCCCAGAAAAGCTTACTCCAGATCTCAGTACTCTGGGGGATATAAGTATAGACCATAGCCATTAGTGACCTGCCCAGAATTCTCTACCATTCCCAGCTCTCATTCACTCCAACTTTCCCCCCTTCCCTCCATTTTTCAGAAAGTTCTTAAGATGAAGTACAGTTTTGCGATAACAGGGCTCGCCCTCTGCTTCACCAAGACCCTCGCCTTCCCTTCCCGCATGTTTGATGATGCTCAATCCATGAGCGCAGAAGAGAGGCGTTCCCTTGAGAAAATTACTGCCCAGATCGAAGCTGGAATTGAAAAACGTGTATCAAGTCCTCGCTCTGTTGGATTCTCTGCATCCGACCAATATGTATCCAACACAGGCAATCATGCATTTGTTGCTCCAGGGCCCAATGATTTGCGTGGACCCTGTCCTGGTAAGGAACCCCTCGATTCAATCGCTTGGTCTGAACTGAATGGTTCGAAACATGACTTCATAGGCTAATGCTAATGCTCGTCTATATAGGGTTAAATGCTATGGCTAATCACAACTACATTCCTCGCAATGGAGTAGCGACAATTTCACAATTCGTTCAAGGAACCTATGACGGTGAGCCATATATCGTCGTGATTATGAATGTCTCGTACTGACGTAAGAAATAGTATTTGGCATGGGTGCTGATCTTGGAGCATTCCTCTCTATATATGGTGCTGTCTTCGACGGGGATTTGACAAGTTGGTCTATTGGGGGACCCCCATCTTCAGGCCTGCTGAGCTCAATTGGACTTCTCGGTAAACCTCAAGGATTGATTGGATCACATAACAAATATGAGTCTGATGCATCACCTGCACGTCCGGATCTTTATGAATAGTAAGTTATACCATATTTTAGGGTCGGGGGGATAAAATTATTAACAGTGACTAGTGGCAATAATTACAAAGTGATCTTGTCTCAATTTGAAGAGATGTACGCTTTGCCGCTGGGTCCGAACGGTTACGATTTATCAGTTCTGACTCCTTTCCGAGCAACTCGTTTCCAACAATCCATTGAAAACAATCCATATTTTTTCAACGGACCCTTTTCAGGAATCGCTGTCCAGCCTGCAGCATACACTTTTATTTATCGATATATGGCCAACAAATCCTCTGAATATCCTGAGGGCTACTTGAATGGCGATGTCTTGAAGTCGTTTTATTCAGTCACTGGAGAACCAGGTGGCTTTGTGTGGACAGAAGGACATGAGAAAATCCCTGACAACTGGTATAAACGGGCTCTTGGTGACGAATACGGTCTTGTACCTTTCGCACTCGATCTAAATATTGCAGCTCTTGAACATGTTGAGTTTCTTTCCGTTGGAGGAAATACCGGCACGGTGAACTCATTCACAGGCGTCGACCTTAAGAATTTGACCGGTGGTGTATTTGATGTTACCACATTGGCCGAGGGAAATAACGCTATTTGTTTTGCATTCCAAGTTGCTCAGCAGGCTGCTCCTGATATCCTTAAGGGTCTGTTGTCTAATACTGCCTCTGCTTTGAGTCAGCTGAATGCGGCGGTTTCTGCTGCGTTGAGTGGGCTGAGTTGTCCTCAGTTGAAGAGTATTGATACTTCGCAGTTTGCCCAGTTTCCTGGTGCGAAGGGGGCTTATTAGCTATGATCGGATGATTGATACAGTGATGTGACGATGGATTTATGTGGATCTAATATGGGAATGGGAATGGTTCAGCCGTTGGCTTTCTTTGTATATAGTTTTTATATTGCCTATAAGCGAATCAAGGAATATCTGCAACGTTGTGATAAATTTCTGATTCACAGTTGATATGTAGATCTGACCAACCATTGCTCTGAAATAAGCACCACTGTTTTTCATCGAAATGCCATATCATTCTCTAGTGAAGACTCTTGAAGGTGAAGCTTTGGAGTTTCTGATATGTGCGCATTGCGAGGATATCATCATTGTCTCAATACCAAAGTCAAAGGATTTTCCCGGTTTCAACGATTTGCTTCTTTCGAGTCGTATAGCGCTATCAAGTACTCTGCTAGGCAAAATTGCGCATTGTGCAAGCTCGTGCTTGCAATATTCCAAAGTCCCAGCTATTCAGCAATGAATAATAACAGCCCAGAAGACCGCGCGTTGTCAGATGTACAGATAGCCTCGTGGTCAGAGAATCATCATGCAGATATCGCCATTCTTCGGCCCGAACTGGGTAGGTTTAAAACAACTGTTTGTTATTTTTGGGCGAGTTGCTGCATATGAGGGAAGCGCAAACGATATTGAGAGAAGAAGCATACAAGAAGGTGGTCCAGGACCAATGCAAACTTTGCTGTTCGGATAGAAATTGAGGTTGTCAATGTCTTGACTTTGACTAATGTTTGGGAAGCTAGTATTCGTGGTCCAAATGTCCCCATTCAAAATCATCAGATTACTAAGTGTATATACTCGTTTATCATAAGGCCTTATGATGACCGCCCGAGACCTTGAGGGGCGGATGATTTTAAGTTCTGGATGCTCAAGTACGGACAACTACACCCGATTCATACGTTCATTGTACTGGTAGAAGAATCCGTATCGAATGTGACAATCTACTGACTGGAATCGAAACTTCTGGCAGAGTACATCCACACAGATCCAGCAAAGCCCTGCAGATTGGAAAGGAATCGTTCAGCATCAATTATTATTTCGATGACTGGAGAGTGCATCATACAATATATTTCACTGAAGATATTCTCGCGGAGTAAGTTGAGAAATCCGAAACCTTTTTTACAAAAGCAGCCCAAACATTCAATGTAGACGTCCATCCCTTTCCCCTCCAATTCCCTGGAGCGCATGACTGTGAAAATGGGCTTTTGATAACTCCTGTCGCTAGAAGGAAGGGGGTCTTCACACGCGTGGGGATATATCAAGCCCCAGCCTATGGTGAAATTTTGCAAGACTTCGAGGACGTGAGAGATAAGGGCGAGCTTTCATTTGAGACCGAACTATCGTTATGTCAAAGAGTATCAAGGGTCAATAAAACAGGACATCAAACTTATATATCACTTTTGTCTAACAGGAGCGAAGTGACTTCATTGCACATCATAAATTACTTTGCCAGATCCGTCTCAATGTTCCTGAATCTGTGACAAGAAGGCGGCCATCTCTATCTTCAGATAGAAGGCCGTCGGTCTAACAGCCAAGCCTTCAGCTGGGAGCCAAGCGCCAATGACTTGTAATCCATTTAGATGAGGCGAGAACCTTCTCTCAGTTCTATATCACATTGTACTGGAAACATCGGCGCCAAGCTCCGGGCACAACTTCAAAACTTCAAGATCAGATAAAGCATTCCAAACCAAGATTATGATTCTCGGGATGATTGATATTATCCCAATCCAAGTCCTAAGCACTCGCTCGCAACTCCAGGACGGGATACACGAAAACAACAATGAACATGATATCACGAATGCTGACATCAAGCACCCTTTCCTCCTCACCGAGAACTCAAAGAAAAGACATAAGCGCCAAGCTCCAAGAACTCACTCGAAACACCACGACCAGACGACTCTTCAGAGAAATAAAGTTAAAGATACATCTTTGGTCACAATTCATCTCATCAACGCAAATACCATCTTGGCAACCCCTAACACCAAACATCCGTGCATACCCCTTCATTTCCTATCACAACCGAATTTGGAAATTTTGTTCTTTGTGATCCACTTGTGTACTCTTTATGCTTAAACAATTTGAAGAACAGATTTTTTTGGAGCCTTTTGATTCGATCAGCAGGAGATATGTTCTTATTATGGAAATAGGTAACAGAAAGGGAGAGGGAAACAATCAGGCTTAGCGATTTGCCATGCTTTTGTGGGGCGGAGGTTTGCTGGGTTTGGGAGATTGTTTTTCTTGGTGGTGATTTTTTGGGGTTCAGGTTAATAATGGAATGGAGTATGTAGCGTCGATGATGAGATATATATCTTGCGATCCCGCCCGCTACTAATTTTTGAACTGCCGGCGCTATTTGATTCCTGATACCCCGACTTTAGTGCTCATTATCAGACGTTCTTCGAGATATTTGTCTCCATCTACACGATATCAATAGTCACTTCATCGTCTTCACCAAAACAAGCCAAAAAAATCCAACACCATCACTCAAAATGCAATCCACAACCCCTCTCATATTCCTGTCTCTCCTCAGCCCAATCCTCGCCCTGGACTACATATCAACATATAATCTCGGCGCTGCCCGTTGGGACGCAACCCTGACCGATACGCCCAACAACATTACTTGCACCATCACTTACGACGATACATCTTCCCTCCTCATCGCAGACACCGATGGATATCTCAGTAGTGCGGTTGCGATTGTCATGCCATGTAGTGATTTGAATGCAGTTGCCACCACTGTTGTTGGAAAAGAAAGCTCGAGCGTTAGCTATACGGTACCTGGGGGAGAGAAGAAAGATTTTGTGGTAGCAAGTAGGACTGTGTTGGCAGACGGAGAGGTGATTATGATGTCTTATGGAGCGTGAAGAGAGGTTGGTGGAGATCTGGTGGACGTGAGAAGGAGATGACGAAAGGAGGAGGTAGGAGGAAGAAAGGGAACAATGGAGCTGCAAAAAGAATAGACGAAGGAGAATATAGGATCAGATGGAGAAACTATGGAGGAAGTGGCAATGGCAGGCGTAGAATGAAGGATATGTACGAAATCACGATCGAGAAGTGCTTAATATGGCTCTGTAAAACAGCTGCGAGAGACAGTAGACAGCGAATGAGCAAACAGTCAGATAGCCAAATTTGATAAGTTTATGGATATTCGACTTTTGTATGAATAATCTCACACACATTCGACTTTGTGCACTTCGTGTAGTTGGTACTCAGAGCTCATTTCTTCTCATTCACAATATATCTAATACCCCTGTTCCGTTCGATAATCACATGATGATCACAAGGATATCCAGTCCATTCCCTCCCTGCCTCTTTTTCAATATTTTCGAATATGATTTACACCGAATTTTTTTTGGCCCAATAGAGAATATTGTGCGATATGAAGTTGTTTCAAGTTTCGAGGGTCTGGCGCATATGGTGAACTGTGCAATCCTCGCCGTAACATACAGGCGGTTAGTTTATCCAGCGGGATCCACCTCTGTATGAGTCCCATTCTGGAAAAGATATTCATTTCCGCTGGGAAGACTTGGCGTCGTGAAGCTTACGAGTTCGGCGAGATGGTTGTGATTGATAACCTTCCCAATTTATAGAATTTAGAATGTGTGTCGTTTAATCTGAAGCGAAGTGTAGAATCGTCGCAACTCCCGTAATAATAATCCAAGTAGACTGTTGTTCAGTATTATCTTCTTAATTAAGGAACGATTGTTAAACTCGATACTAGACAGTGATTCCCCCATTTAGTCTGTTTCCAACTAGATCATGAGAATCTCGTACCAGCCAATATATCCAGTAATAAATATCACCCACACCTCCGCAGCATAGACATCCACTTCACTGGCACGCTCTTACATACTTCAGTGCCGGTAACTCTCTACTTTGCCATCCCTCTCCTCTCCTAATCCTCCCATCACCCCTTCCAGACCCATCACCACAAATCCACGCACCACTTATACCACCCTTTTGCCACCCAAAACAGCTTAACAGCTGATGTTTTCGCAGACTCCCTTTGTCTGCTGATAATAATGTGTATCCCGGTACAATATCTCGGCGCCCAGAAGCCTCTTCGTGTTTTTCTCGAGTATATGAAGCTATTAAGTGATGCGGTAGTGAAGGCGGCGCATCTTTGTGACCTGGCGTGAGCCTCATTAGTTCTGTATACCAACGTGTACTATGCTCTTCTAGTTCCGCATGACTTGGCAATCCTATATACAACGTCTCTAAATTCCCGAAATATCTCAACTCAAAGATCGGGCAGCTGAAAGAATCGCTTGCTCTAAGGGTCAGGTACGTTTGTGTGATCATTATATGCCGTATGAGATGAGTTGGAAGATCTGGGTCCAATGCAGTCGTATCAAGTGAGTCATTGTCATAGTGATGTTCGCACTGAGGATGGTAGTGCAGGATGTCAACGGCATGATGAAAATATATAGCGCCCCTTTTGTTTAGCATAGAGGGGTTGAGGACCGAGTAACTCTTAAGAGCAACTTCACGAGAAGCCCGACATGTTTGGGTAAGTGGTGGTGGCTGAGATTGATATCTATATGTATGAAATTCTGGAGCGAAGTCGACTTTGATAACCCGGGGTACAATGCTGTCTGGCTGAAGAGAAAAATAAAAGATTTTGAGTTGAAGTTCGACTGGGAGTCTTCTGAATTGCGGGAATGATGACATTTTGGCGTGTTTCACTCGAGTCAGAACAAGAGTGTGGTGCGAAATTTGAGGTTTTGCTGGGTATATATGTTCGTCCGAAAGGGCCGAAATTGGCTGTCTACCGTGATTATTTTCGAATTTGTGAACCGTTTGGCAAATATCACGTTGGAGTAACAACTGATTCACGCCAAAAATAGGCAACTCTCGGTTTTGCGAGGATTTTCAGCCACGGGCGAGTGTGAGCTTCCAAAGGACGAATTTTCAATGGGTGGAGCAGCGGTGAATTCAAGGAAATGGTCCGGTCGATTGCTAGTTCGCGCGCTGGCGAAAGTGAGACAGAAACTGATTGACAGCACCGT